GTAGCAGTGGTAAACCCTGTATAAAGTACATTTGCTTAAAACATAACCCTATAGAGATGTTGTAGTTCAAACCAAGAGTTTGGACCAATAGTAAGACTTGATTGGAGTCTACTAAGCTTATTACTGAATGGCTGTCACTCCCATAAATTCAGATGCACATTTATTTATCTGATGTCATAGGACTGATGTATCACCAGTTACCACTCAGATACACCACAGATATTTGCCATTTATAATTTATTAGGATTTCTAATAGAAATTTAAACATGTTTCACAGGTTAGTGAGATTTCATTTCCCATCTCTAAAAGCTTATTTACCTAAGGTACACCCTAAAATGTGTTTCAATTTGAAGAACTAAAAGCCTAGGGGCTGATATTAATTGTATTGTGAGAAGCCTCATTTGTGACTAAAGGTTTCCTAAGGAAAAAAGGTCTAAATTAGCTAGCTGTTATTTTTTAGATGCTACTTGGGTTTTTTTAGAAGTACCACAACAATCATATTTAATCACTGTTGAGCTGATAATTTTGCTTCCTTTTAATTGTGTAATTTTCTGAGTTGTACAACCAAATTCCATGATGATCCCATCCAAGAGTTTTTCTCCAGAGACCATCATTAACACTTGTTCAGCTGTGTCTCATTTCTTTAGGCACTTCTTGATAATCTGGACACAATTTCTTGATGCTTGTTTATGTGAACCTAATTCTGTTCACATAAGAGCTCATCTAGAAAACCAAATTAAGTAATGCTCAGTGTAAATCCTTAGGAAAGTATTTCTCTGTGAACAGAGTGAGCAGGGCTCAGGTAATCAAACTTCATCTGCAGTGGTGTTACCATACATGATCCATATAGCTTTGAAATATTGAGATCTCTAAACTGATCTATTGCTGTTCATTTTGCCTCTGTTGTGTCAAAGCTTGCTTTTTGTCTCTCACAGTAAAAACAGTCATGCTTTAATAAACGATGAAGTTTTTGTTTTGCCATCATTATTAGTCTTTCAACAGAAGCAAGGCAAACTGGGCCAGGCGAACAACTGTTTATTGCTACTTTTGCTGCACTGACGTGGCTCTGGGTAAAATACACTTTGGTTTTGTTTCAGCTGCTCTTTACATATGCTCCCTATCTTAATCTGCATCTCTGGAAAGAACCAAAGTCTCATGGAGCTTGATTCTGGTTGCTAACAGGATAACAAGGTAACTTCTCTGATTTTTTTTTTTTTATTCACTCCTGTTACACTGTTTTGATAGTGGGTAGATACAGCAAGATGACACTTTGTGGCACCTGGCTTGGAACATCAAAGAGCTTGGATTTTTCCTCATGAAGCAATTTCAGTTAGATATGTACAGATGTACTTCAAGATACATCCACATAATATTCTCATGTTCTGTGACTCTCAAAACAGTACAACTAAAACTTACAGTTTTCATCTGGGCAAATGGGTTCTCTCACAGCATTGACATGACATGACATTTTGCACAAGGATTGTCCTTTTGTACTAAAACAGAGGGACAAAAAGTAGTACCCACAAGTTTTGAAGCAGAGCATAGGAATTAATTTCTTGGTGACTCTCTTGAGAATCTAGGTATGATTCAGTCAATCTCTGAAAAATCTGGGAGATGATTCCCAAAGTCTTATTCCTAAATGTTATTTTTAAATCCTGGTGGTATGACCTAGCATTGGCTAAACTGCCTGTTGTGAGCAGTCATCTGTATTTTTGTGGTGATTTGGCAACTGTGTTTGGAGGCACTTTTTTGCCATTGCTTCCATCTGTCAGAACTAAGATCAGTGCAGGTGACAGACTTAATACTCTGAATTCTCTGTAAAATCATAAGTTTTTTTTCTGGTGTAGCTAAGGCTGTGTCCCCCTAGAGATACAGGCCTGGGCTTAATTTGACTCATCTCAAATGGCCTTGCTGTTCTAAATGGAACTTCCCATGCATAATGGTAAGGTTATACCCAAATTCCCACAACAAACTGGCCAAAGTTTGACTTGACAGTATTCTGCAAGCAACAGGTTTCTCACTTATCCATTCCCTGGTTATTATGTTTATTTAAGGTTTCCTTTATTGTTTATTTATTTTAAAATAAAATTGCTTTTTCTCTTAGAAATATCCTTGGCATATAAAAAGTGTCACCAACCGACTTGATAATGAATTCTTGGAGGCCAAACTTCTGACAAAACTCTGTAAGTTAAAAGGATTGCAACATTTCAAAATTCCTTTGTCAGACACTGTCTTTATTTTACACTTTTTTTTTTTTTAATTTTTTTTTTTTATTTTCCCTACATTATTACTGTCTGTACAGGAATGATGGATGACAGAGAATGAAGTTCCCATTAACTTAAGCTGTTACCATAAATCCTCCAGAGATGTCTAATTAACATGAAAGTTTAGTAGTTTGGGTTCACTGTGAGAGTCTGCTCCTGGTGCTCTGTATTTCTATCAGTGCAGTCCAGAGGTCCATAAATCTTCATTGCTCTGGGATTCCCAGTATGTCCCATTACCATGAAAAAGTGACATCTGATACAAGAAGTGTAAATACTGTGTGTGGAAGTTCAATAAAGTGTTTCATTCTTCACTGCTGAATTACAGTTTTATGGTCCATAAATAAAGGCAAACAAGGAAAACTAAAATTTGAGGAATGGTTGTATATCACACATGTTATCTGGAATGAAATTGTTTCTGCTCTGGTGACAAATGTCTCACCTTCAATTTGCATTCATGTCTTGTGTTATGCCACTCTAAGGGCAGATTGTTGATGTTATAAATTACCTCAAAGAATAAAATTATAGATTCTGGTATCATTCAGCTTTTCATGGAACAAGGGATAAAGTCTATCAGACTGGTAAAGTTTGAGTAAACCCAGTATTCTTAGGGGTCAACTTTATATAGTTAAAAAAATAAGATTTTTGCACACACAAAGCAACCCTTTCCTCCCAGCAAAACAGTATAAACATTCTGAAATGATCTGTTTTGTTCAGCAGCAGCCTATGATGGGTTTTGTTGTAGCGATACATGAATTTTCATAATTCAACCACTACAATAATCACTTAGCAAAAGATGCGATGACAAAAGTGAAAAGGATTTAATAGATCATCAAATCCAAGCTGCTGTGCTAAGCATTTTGGCATATCAACCTGTTTATAAATGCACCAGCTCCACTGAAATTGCTTCAGATGTCTTATCCTCTTACCTGCATGAGCAGAAGATTCTGGACATGCATTTCTCTTATGGAGGGTCCACTCTGTGCTTATTTATAGTCTGGTTATATGTATTGACTCTTCAGTCTGCACTGCATTTCAACAGCTGTTTTCTCCCTCCAGTGTTCTTAACCCAGTGAATTCACGTACAGCTCTCCAAAGACTGCTGGCATTTTTGGATTTTGTGCTTTTTATGTAAAATTACATTCATTCCTCTGATCACCTTATCCTCTGACTTGTAGTAGTCCTAATGCATCATAAAACATGTAACTGAAATTTGTAAGCTTAATTCTAAACAAGGTCTTACAGAGGTAATACATGATGCTTTGACTTCTTCTACCATGTATGGTGCAATAGCATTGCATTTATCTTTTTTATGTCTATAGTTATGGTTCATTTTCATTGAAATCTGTGTTAGCAGGCATTTCCAGCTGCTGAACTCTGGGATTGACTCTATAATCCACATCCCTTGGTGGACTTTGGTAGAAAGTTTTGTTATGTGCCAAGACTTTGATGAGACCTAAAGTTGCCTTTCCTTTCCCAGCTGAAGGGGGAGCAAGCCCTAGTGGGATAGGTAGGGAGAGATGCAATGACCTCTCGTCATGTTCTTGACTGTCACAGGTCAGGGCTGTAGGCTGCAGAGCCTGGAATGCCTATGTTTATTTTGTGAATTATTTCATCAATTATATTGAATTTATCTCACATTCTCTATGTTTTTAATGTTGCCCTATTGTGTCATCAGTACAATTTCTTATGTTCACAACAGTAAGCAGCTTGATATGATTTAGATAGGTGGTCCCATCTTCACAAATCAGAGGTATGGGTGAAACACCGAGTGGGGTAGTTCTCTATTATTGCTGGCTTGATATAAAATTATTTTAAATCTGCCTCAGTCAATGCGTTTTCATTTTTTTTCTTTGTGTTTCTGAGCTCAATTGGAGTAATAGAAGATAGTAAAGATGGCATTTTTGGAGGTGTCTGTTTACATCTGGAATGAAGATTCAGAGTTAAGATTACTTCATTTGAACAAGCTGACTTCTTCCTTGGAGATTATACTTAGTATTTCCTGTATAACTTTGGAAAGAGCTGCTCCAAATAGCCAATGTGTTAGTGTTCTTGGTTAACAGGAGATATCATAACACTCACAGCTGTCTCTTTACTAAATTTACAGGTTAAATCAAGAGCCAGTGCACTTGGCTCGCACGCAAGATTGAGGTCAAGGCATATGTGCTCTGTTCTTATTCCTGCCATGGATCTGCAGGATAAGCGTGAGTCAGATTCTGCCCTTTAGTTCTTTTGTCTATAAAGCTTACATACACATAATCAATTTAACAGTCCCTGACAACTTACAATTTGAGCTCAGCCATGGTCTCTGCCTTAGGGGTTTCAAACGAAGTGTCATATTCAGGTATATTTGGCAATGTTGCAGAAACGTGGTAATTATTACACTAAGTTAGTGAAAGATAAAAGAAATTAAATATATTCTGTATGTTCTGTCAAGTTCAGCATCTGAGAGTCGGTGAAAATGGGTTTTTTATGGCTATTTGCAGAAAGTCTTATCTTGTGGCAGACATATTAGCTGTACCTTAACTGAAAGACTATAACCAGGTATCTGGGGTTTAAGAATCAGAAGGGTTGGGAGCAGGTGCATATTCCACTTTTGCTGAGCATCTCATTCCTTTCTTCTTTCAAGACTTTTTCAGCTTCCCTCTAGGAGCAGCAGCACTGGTGTGCCACCTTCTCCTCATTGTTCAGTGCCAGGAGGGTAACGAGGCCTGACTTGGAAATGCTGTGTGAGCGGCGAGCAGCTGAGCAGTCTGACTCAGGGGACCGCTGCATTACAGCACTGCAAATCTGGCAAACCTAATTGTGCTCACAGGGATAACGACAACTCCATATGGGATGGAAAATTGTTTGCATGTAGGTTTTACTTCTTAACTCTTCTGCTCTTCCTGTAGTTAGTAGGCAGGCAGCAGTCTCCAAAGCTAACAGCAATGCTGCTGCTGGTCCAGCTGGCACAGAAGATTTAACTTCACACGAGCCAGCTGGCTATCTCCTTGCCTCTTTTCACCTAAGAGACTGAAATATGTCATCCTTGAGATACAACCAGACTTCTGGAACTCTCAGCTCTTTCTGGGAAAGAAACAGCATTATTAGTACTCTGTATATGCTTTCCTTCAGAAAGATATAAAATGTTAAATATGGATATATATGTATTTATATGCTTTATCTATCTATGTTAATGCACAAATATTAAAACTAAAATGCACACAAAGGAAACTGCAAGCTTACAAATAGATATACAAAAAAAGAACCAGGAAATGAAGAAACAAAGTACTCTGTTTTCATTTTGATGTGACTGATTTACTTCCACTACCCTGTGTATGTGGTAGCCTTAATTATCAGTCGGATTGTTTAAATATGCAGCCAATATTTTTCTGTACTCAGAGTCATTGATACTAGGAGGATCACAGTATTTTCATTTCCTGTGTTTTAGGATCTAATTTATTACTTCTCAAAATGGCACTAGTGGTTTTCATAGCTTTTTTCCTTTCCCTAGTAAATACAAATATATAGAGAAAGATAAAAATGGCTTTTTTAATATAATTGTTTTATAAGTAGCCCTGCTCAGCTTTGAAAGTCATATCTGGAACAATGAATTGAATGGGACATTACATTTACTGTTGCTGCTGTTATGCTGAGTTGCAATTTTGCAGAAGCAGCAATGTATCAGACTGAGCCATGAATCTTCCCCAAGAGAATGTAGGATTTGGAGATTACTGAAAGTGATAAAAACACAGAGAATTCCATCTAGTTGGGTGTGGTGCTAGGGCAATAGTGGTAATATCTCATTAAGATACAGACATTTCCTTTAATGTAAATTGCTCCAGCCAATCCTGACAAGCTGCTTTTTAATGGCATGAAAATTAAAGGGACTTATTTTGCATCTCCCTTTTTGGCTGCTCAAAACTTAAGAAATGCTCAAATGAAACAATTTTAAAATTACCCAAGCTTACAGAAATGAAATTAAAAGCACAACATAAAAGCACTTTAAAAAGTTCTAATTATGGATTCTTGTCTTGTATCTCACGGAGAGCAGATGTGGCAGAAAGCTGTAGCAATAGTCTGAGATGCCTCCAATGCAGAAGTTTATTAAAAGCAACAAAGGAAAACCTTTATCTCACATAAGTAACAGATGCTCTTTATCCACTGAATGCCTACTCATGGTGGCACTGAGTGACTTAGTTTATATTAGCTAAACCAAGAAGGCCTGTATTCAAGCAAACCTGTAAATAAGGCTAAATATTTAGTTGATGCAAACTTTCTTCTAGAAGATTTGGCGATTAAAGTGCTGAAACGCACTTATTGAAAATTAACATAAATTAAGTTAGGATTTAGAGTAATTAAAATGGATGGGCTACAGATTATAGGTTATTATGGTCTGAACTAGTGAACCACAACCTTTCTTGCTCCATCAGTTTTATTAGAGCAATGTCTACAGTGTGTTGCCTAATGGCTATAACTAGGTAACTACTCATGGCCTCTGATCAAAGGAGAGGGCTCTCAAAAAGGATCTCAAAGATTATCAGAGGCTCCTTGTGCCAAGGCTGCTTATCACTCATCACATCAAGGCTGCTCAGTGCTCTCACCTGTTCTGAACATTTGTTATCTGCTCTGTCATTTGAGATCTGGGGTCCATGGTTTGGAGTTCTTGAGAATCACACAACATACCATTTTATGTATGGCATCCAAACATGAGGCATCTTACTTAGCATCAAAGATCTAGTGTTATGAATAATATATGTTTAGGAGGCTGAAAATCAAGCAAAATAGATCATATGTAATTCCAGGAAAAATATCTCAAAGGCCATAGTATAAGACTGTTTTATAAGATGAATTTGGAAACTCTTGTCTACTTTGCCAAACCTATAAAGATAAGCTGAAGTAAATAAATGGTGAAATAGCCTATTTAAGGTCTTTGCATCTTTTGCAAGTTTTAAATGCTTTCACTGGAGGCAATGCTTAAAGTTGCTTAGCACTCAAATTATTTGCAGTAGTTTTTCAACTACAGCATCCTTCAAAGGCATCTGCAGTGATACATCCAGGAACATATCCAGCCATTCCAAGCGCTTAGATGTCTCATGTTTGGATGCCATCCATAAGAAGGGATGTTGTGCAATTCCTAAATTCTAAGAATTCCAAACTGTGGGTTGCATTGTGAAAGTTCTCTTTAAACTTTGTAAGTGAAATATGTTGTTAGAGGTATCTTCCCTGAGGATTACTGGCAAACACCTTGTGTTTAGGGGGGTACCACACACTTTAGACAGCACAGACAGGATGTCTCTTTCATTCTAATTTGTCTTTGTATGTGGTTTATAACATGCCCCCAAATTACTTCTTGTTATACAATTCTTCATGCTTGTTCTACTCTCAGAAGTGAGTCTTTTTCAAAGGATTTCAAAGAAGACCATTTTAGCTCCAAGTGTGCTGTGCGTGAAAAAGGATTGTTTTGACACACTTTTATGCTCTGGTTGCTCCAGAAGCATTTAAATCTGAAAATTGAAATTGTGATGGGTAAGTCTCGGCCTTTAAGATAAGGTGTTACAAGCACTCAAAAACAACATTAAAAGGACATGGAGGCTGTAAAGTTAAGTGCCTGCCAAAAAACAAATTAGGCAATGATAGAATGAACATTGATAGTGGATCCTTAGTTCAGTCCTGCTCTGTGTATAGGTTATGACAATTTTGAAGGGATAAGGTACTATATTTTTCATGTACTTTTTCTCTCCTTGTATTGTCTTTCCTTATTGCATCTGTATTACAACAGTTTTGTTTCCAGATACAGTTTTTTCACTCAGTCATTCCTTGCTTTATCCTTCCAGTCTTCTAATTTCCACCCCATCCTTAACATTTCCTTGCCCCTCACATTCTTACTTCACCTTCACTCCCGAATGTCTCTGTCATCTTTTTTTTTCATTCTGCTGTCTTATATCTTTTTCCTGTGGTTGGCCAAGAAAAATGAAACTCTAAGGCATGACAATGACAAAATCCACATCATATTTTATATGTACCTTTCTTAAGGTGCAGAGAAGTGATTTCTATGTGAGAATATGTTTGGAAGTAAACTTTTGGAGGAGGAGCTAAGGGGAACTCTTCCAGACTGTTGCCAAAGTCAGCTGTCTCCTATATGTTTGTCTTGTAGCTCCTTTTGTAATGCCATGTGTTTGGGGATTTCCAGTGGGGATTCAGCTTCTTTATGTCAATTAAAGTTATGCTGAGTTTTTAAAAACTCTGTTAATAGATGAAGTTAAGATGTTCTGAAGGTCTTTTGGAGGATGCTATCTAGAAAAAAGAAATCTAAGATAAAAAATAGAGTTAGTATTCCTCACATATTTGTATTTCACATGTGAGCATGCTAATTTTCTGTGCAATTCCTCTGTGAAACAAAGTGTTCTTTTTAATCTTACTTGTCTCATGTGTTCGACATCCCTTCCCTCTATTTTTTTAAGAAACTGACTTTTTCTGTGGTCTCTTAAATTAGTTTGTGCCTTTGGGAAAGATTACTATGTTTATGTGGCATCAACTGGAACAAACTCTTGCAGATTCAAGGGTCATCACTGGTCTGTGCTCTGTAATCCTGCTATGCCAAGAGATCAATATGCTGGGAGGTGTGAACATACTGAGCATACCGGTGAACCTATCTGACTGGGTGAATTTTAATTTAATTTGAGAACTTCCAGAGCTTTCTCACTGATACTGCAAAAATCAGACTTGCATTCCTAATTTTCTACACTGTAAGTAGGCTAATTTGTTCCCCAGCTGTTTCATTTGCAAAGGAGGCTGTCATTCTTTGTTAAATAAAACTGGTAAAGATGGAGCCCAAGGAAGATCTGTGTAATGATGAAAGTTTGTTCCAGTTCAAAGCTGCTGTTGATATTGGGTGAGATCCAAAAACTCTTGATGCCAGATGCAATGCTTCCATTGATGTAATCAGATTTCAAATCAGGGCTGGTGTGTTCAGCCCACTACTCCTTTAACTACTGCTCTGGTTCCTGACTCTCTGGGAACTGGAATGAGTTGTGCCAACAGCATTTAGAAAAACACCATTCCTGGTTGCTCTCTGCCTAGTACTATATGCAAGAGATGCTCACTCCCAGTTGTATAATTCACTCTGTTTCTCCCCCTAGGAATGCAATATGAGAATTTTTTTTTCTTCTCCAGTCTAGCCTTGTCTTTAATTTGTTTTCCCCAGGACAGATGTGCACTGCTCTGTGCAATCTACAGGTGTTGTGGACCTGATCTGGGTGACCTTCACTGCCCCTAAATCTGAGCTGCTGGCTCATTCAGCCAGGAACTGATTTCTGGTTTCTTGGGACTCATTAGTAGAGGCTAGCTTGGTGGGCTCATCATTGGCACCTTCTGTACTTCTAAAAAAAAGATAAAAGGGAATGTTTTGAAAATCCAGGCAGTTGTATGAAAGATAATGGTTAAATCAGGTTTAATAGTGATCTGCTCTGGCATTATTGTATGTTAGAGGCTCAAGGACCAAATCATGGTCTTGGCAAGCCCCACCAGAGAGTGACTGACCCTGGGTCTGAGAGCAGTTCCCTGGGAAGAGTCTGGAATTGGAGGTCTTCTATTTGACACCACTTGTCAGCGAAATGTGCCTCATTGGACAGTCTCACAGCTGAATTGGTTTCTCAGTTGCCTTATGATTAATATTAACCTTTGTTGTTGCTGATCATACTGTTTTCTTTTTTTGTCTCATCTGCCTGTTTTTTCCTGGCTTTATCTGTCTCTGTACTGCTAAAAGTTCCCATTTTCTCTTCCAATTTACTTTTAGAGGGAGCAGTATGGAGACCCCTGTCAGCTAATCTGTCTGCTGGTTAAAAAATGCTGCTGCCCTTAGCTAGGCAAAGTCTTATATCAACTTGGTGGGCAAACATACAAAAATACTTCTCCTGCTGTCAGAAAAGAGCAAGTATTTCACTCTTTCCAATATGCAAGTGTTTCTCCTATGATTTTTAACAATTGTTGATAGCAGTTAAGCAGTTATGGTAAAATTTTGCTTTATGGACTGTGTACTATTTTGGGCTCTGTGCTGGTGGGTGAATAATCCTGGTATAAGTCACTTTTCTATTCTGAAACTCTTCTCCCACATATAAAAGGAGAATAAAAATGCTGGCTGGCTTTCTGATATGCTTTGAAATCCACTGCTGAAAAATGTTACTTAGAAGTTGGACATTATGATCTATAATTATAATCAAACCCATATGAGCATTATGCATGAGAAGACAGCATGATAACATATATGGTTGTGAGTGTAAAAAACCCAGGAAATTCCTCCTTCTTCTGTAGACAAGTGACAGTGGAGGCATTTTTAAGTACAGATTCATTATGCCAGTAATGCAGAGAACCTGGAGAGGTGCATTGCTACTTGTTAAAATTTCTTTCCTGTATTAAATTTCTCTGCCACGATTTTGATTAGCATAATCCTTTGACCTAAATATGAAAATATCAGCAAAGACATGAAAACTGAAATCAGGTTTCAGAGTTGACTGTCCTGCTGTACTTTGTGAATCGCATTAGTTGGTGGAAGTGAGTGGGACAGTAGGAATTATTACCCCCAAAAATCTAGAATGGTACATTAGAGCCCAACTTATTTTTTGGGGATTCAGCTTTCTATTATTTATGCAGTTTTTACTTGTATTGAAGAATTCTCTCCTGGACTATAAGAACCTTGGAAGTTCTTCTGGGCATTAAGTTACTTCAGGAAATCCTATCTAAACCATCAGCTTCTTACTGGCTTACAAAAGTAAAAATGGTTTGTTATCTCAAACAAAAGCACATTGTTACAGTTAATTTTAAAAGTATTTTTAGCTTGTGAACATACCAAAGTCATGAAGTGGCAACTATGAATCTTGGTTGTTTTATGATTTCAGGTGTGTGAATTGCATAGATCCGCATGCAAATCTATAGATGAATAGTTTCAGATCTACCTCCAAAACTCCAGGTGCTCCTTTTGCTATTTTCACTTTCCTTGCTGATATTGCCTGGCCACCTCAAGACACTCCAAGGACAAGCTGCTGTATGAGAGACCTGCATTATAAAAGTAGGTTCATCAAAATGAATGTCTTCTCCCTTACTAGATTTTTATTTTGGTATTATTTGGTTTCAACCCCTGGCATCAGTGCAGTAAATTTAAACCCCCTCAAATCTGTTGACTTCATTTAATACCTCTTACAAAGAATACCCCCATATGATTTTTTTTTTAATGGAAACAAAGTAACTGTAATGATTCCAGCTCCTTTGTTAAAGGAGCAATAAGGTTGCAAATTGCACAATTCATCAGTCTGGAAATGCTTGTTCAACTCAGTTCTGTTCTCCTCTTTGTCTGCATCATGATACTGACTTATAGTATTTCACTTGTGCAAAAGATCAGAACAAACCCTTGTTTACAAGTGAAGTAGATTACACTCAGTATAAATCAAGATAGTAAATTGAAGCTGAGATTCTTTCTTTTTTCTGAAGTACAACCCTTTTTGCTACTGAGAATAATACTAATACAATGACTACAAGGTAAAACTTGTAGCTTCTTTGAGGTCTTAAAAGAGTTGTGACCATACTGTGTTACATACTTTAAATACACCTGAGGAAGTGTTGTGAATTTCCCTGAAGGGGGATCAGGACTGGTGTTTGGAACACAGAACAACCAGACTTATTAGAACACCTCTTATAGATTTGGTTTTTATTAGTAGACTTGAGATGTTAATGGCAGAAAGCTATTTCCTCTATTAATTCACTTATTCTTTTGTGCAGGTCGTGCACCTGCACACAGCGAGAGCAGCAGTGGGACACTAACACTGTAGTAGGTTTACTCAGAAGTGGATGGTCATCCTGGGCACAACTGTGTTTTCTAGCAAGGTGTTTGGAAACTCCTTTGAGGTACCTGTAATCAGGAGGTATGTATCATACCTGTAGTTCCTCTCTGCATGCAGCAGCTCATTTCCTCTTTTGGCAGGCTCAGAGTAATCCCTTCACTGGTTGATGGGCACATTCATCAGCCTTTTTTCTTGAATTTTCCAATTCCTGGGAGACTTTGCATGTGCTATTTCATGGCACATACATTTCTCACAGTTTTCAGGTGATGGTCCCTCCATCCAGATTTATAGATCCCTTGTCCCCGCTTCAGGAAGGTGGGGGCAGGGGGATTTTGTGTCAGGAGCAGCGCTGCTGCCGAGCCTTCAGCTGTTACTGAGGAGACAGAATGTGAGTGGGAGAAAGGAAGATATGACCCTGTTGTGGAGGTGGGGAACTGGGCTACAGCATTTTGCTGATTTGCCTCACCCCTGGCAGGAAGCTGGCAGCAAGGCTGTGAACTGAGTCCAGGGTGTCTGTCCTCTTGGCTCAGCCTTTCACTCTCAAGAACAACTGTCTCCGCAGTTTTCAGCTCCTGTTGCTCTTCTTGCTCTGCTGCAAGATAGGCAGTACGGCACTCTTGCTTTCCTGGATATACTGGCATTCTGGAAGTAACTCCAGTGTTTGAGGAAAACCTCAAAATATTTGAGATTGGGTTTCTAGGGCTTGGTTAGCACACTTATTGAGACTCACTCTAAGGTAATTGTTCCTCTGAATGAACTAGAGATGTTTCTTCTAGTCTTTACTCCACAAATTGTGAATAGAAAAGGAGCAGCCCAAAGGAGATGTCAGGTGTCTGAGAACAGTTGCCTAGAAGAGTCCATTTTCCCTGTGACTTTTCTACTCAACATATCTAAATTATTTAGAAGAAAAAAAAAAAAAAAGGCTAAACAGTTTTAAGAAATTATATCCAAAAGGAAGACTCGAGAGGATTAGGAGAAATTATTATTGAGCCTGCAATTTATTGTAATGTGTTTTGCTGAAGTCACTTTGCTTTAACAGTCCTTATCTTTCCACTGTTCCCCAGCCCAAGTGATGAAAACAACAGTTGAAAAACCATCCCTTGTTTTTATTTCATGCTAGATATTGTTAATACGTCTTTAGCTAGCACTGAATATTGTATTTAAGTGTTGTCATGGTGTCAGGATTAGACTCTGATGAGGATCTGAGTCATGAGCAGGCCTAGCATTGTAACTTCATGTTAACCTTTTCCCTAGCTCTTTTTGTTTCAGTCTCTGAAAGTTCAATAGTTTTTATAGATGAAAGACTATGTGGAAATTTCTTTTTTCTTTAGGTAAATTCTGTTCATGGAATTCACTGAACCAAAAGCCCAGAAATTCCTTTAAATGCCAGTAACTTCAGTAATTTGGGGTTAGTCTTCACTGAATTTTCTTAGTTAATTACTGGCATATTTAAACCAGGTTTTGGTTGACCAAGGACCATTAAAATACACTTTGGGTTAGAACAGTATATTTAAAAAGATTTGACAGAACTCTTTCTTCAACTGTTTTTTTGCTAGTTGAAAGAAATTCCTCATCTTAAAAATATTCTTGAGACTCTCACTCTCATTTTCTGATAGACTTAGGAGTGATTATAATAATAAAACAAATAAACTTGTAAATCATACCTACATGGAAGACATTATTCAGAACGAGAAAGGTTAGATAATTAAACTCCATGTAATTAACTGAATGAGAATGTCTTCTTGAAATACAGGGGTGGATGATCTCTATATTTGGTAAGTAAACTACCTATTGCTGATGCTGGGAGCGAAATAATAAAATAAAATTAATACAAGTATCTTTGCCCGAAACGAAATTACCCATTTTATCACTGTTTGAATGTAGTCTTACTGGTTTTCAATATGCCTCTTGCAGAAAATAGTTCTCCTGTTTCTACATGAAGACCCACTGGACTTTCTGGGAATTTAAGGAAGGGAAAATAACACCAGAACTTGGCTGACCACAGTGTATGCAGTAATGTTTTGATTGTCAGATGAAATATGTTGGAAAACTTATGCAGATGTATTTTGGGTTAGGAAAATTGTTGTTCTCACCTAAAAGGAAAAAAGAAATCCTTTGGAGGTTAATAGTGAGAACAAATTCCAGTCTATATTGAAAGATTTAGCAAATTCATGTCAGTTTAGAAAACCAGAATTATAACTACAAGAGGACACTGATTATTTTCTCACATGTAATTCAATTGGGACTCATCGCTCAGGAAAGTCATATGGTCAATAAAGTCTTGTTCTGTTTAATTATAATAGAACAACTTGACAGACATCTGGGCCAATTTCCCCACAGTACCTCAAACTTGGAATGGATAGAAAAAGCATCAAGTTGATTTAATGCAGAGCTGTGGATGAGCAGTCAGAAATGGAAGGAGAAATGTGGAACAGTTCTGTCAAAACCCTTGATCATGCAAAACAGGTAAGTATTGGACTACTTTGAAATGCTGAGATTATTTTTAATGCTGGGACTAGATTTGCCTAAAGATGCAATCAGCAAGAGATAAGTGCCTTACCTCCTTAATCATTTGTGTGTCTTGAAATGGATTACTGGCTAAAATTCAGGTCTTTTTAAGTCTGTGGGAAGGCTGTGTTTGTGCTGGGGCCCTGAAGGCACTAGCAGACCTTAGTGACCAGCCTTATCTGGAACTTCTAGGATTAGTGTGTTTAGCCCCCTGTCCTGGATACAGTGGGGGAGAACTGGTCTCCAGAACAGCTGCAGGCGTGCCCTGCCTGCCTGGAGATTCCCTTTTTGCAGAGCTCAGCCTGTGCCCTGGCAGCTTGGCTTGAACTTGGACCTGTCTGATTGCCATGGCATTGGCACGTGAATGGCAGGATACTGTGTCGGGATCTGTCCTGCTCCACAGCTCAGGCTGGGGACAGGCCCTGGCTGGTGGGACTCTGCCCGCCTGGGCTTACAGTGAATCATGTTCTGTGCACTTGTCTTTCAGTCCATTGGGTTCACAGAGATGTTTGAATTAGATCTGATACCCAGCCATTAGACAATTAGTGCTACAAGAGCAAGAGCACAAGCACAATGAAAAAAAAAAAAACAACTTATTTTTCTCTTTCACATTATTTGAGGGTTTTTTTTTACCTAATTCTCTTTCCTGAGCTTTGGCTGTTTCAAATACTTTCTTGCAGGCCTCTTCTATTACAGATCTTCATTGCCCATATTCTAAAGGCCAGATATAATCTCCTCATCTATCTTGTGTGGCTGTTACTGCCTGCTGCAGCAAATCAGCACAGCTTTAGCAGCTTTAGATGGATCTCTATATAATCTCTTCACGGGCTGGCCAGCAGAATCCCACTACTCCAGTACACTGATCCTTTGCATTCATCATGTGAATATTAAAGTACGCAGATTTTACTAATGGAAGTGCCCTGGAGAGAAGATAATGAGCTTCAAGCAAAGCAAACATTTAATCTTTGGTTTTGAGGTATTTGCTGAAAACATTTAAAATTGTGTATCTATCTGATTTTAAAATTTCCAAGTTGAAACATATGTGGTTATTTTCATTAGTTGGAGAGCATGGTCAATAAAGTAGTGTTTGTGTGAGTGAAGTTTCAGTGGAAGTTAATTACAGGTAATTTAGGGATAGACAAAGTATACAGTAATTCATCCTAACGCCACAAAGTTAATGAGAATTTTGTCATTGGTTTCACAGTGGACCAGGCTTCATAAAAGACATATCTGACTTTACAGAGAGGAAACTTTCCTCCTGTTTAAGCCAGTTTCATGTTACTAACATTTGCTGAAATTGTTTTTGCAATTAAGAATGTGTGAAAAATTAAATACAAACCAAATATTGCCGGAACGTGGCAATTGTCAGATTTGGCTTTGTTCAATTCTTCTTCTTTTCCCGTAACTGCTGGCAATATCAGCTAGTATCACTAGCTCTCTGTGGCTGAAAAAGTCAACCTGATTGATGTGACACAGTTCAGTCCAGAGAAAAATCTGCAGTCAAAAACTGATCACAAAGTTAGTTATACAGTGAGTCAGAGCACTGAAGAATGAAAATACCAAGCTGGCCTTTTGTGAGTGGAAGAAGGATATGCAAAATGTGCTTTCTCCTTAGGGAAGAAGCTATACATTTTGTAATGATGCTTTTCATTGTAAATGTTTGTTTCAAATCAATATATATATTAGAAATATCAAAAATTCTATAAAGTTTTAAGGTTCAATTATTTTAAATCAATAGGGCTGTAAAAATAAGCACAGCCCATTAGCATTCTTTGGTTTTATTGCACAGGAGATTTTTTTTTCTGAGTTTTTTTGTGGATTTGGGGTTTTCATTTTGGTTTTTTTTGGTGAAATTAAGACTTTCAAATTTGTTGGAGTGTGAATCTGTGAGAATTTGATAAAGAGGTGCGATGTTATATGGCCTAAGGTGCAAATGGACTTCTCACTCTTTAGTTTTCATGCCTAATTTTATTCTTATTTAACAAAGCCTCTGGATTTTTAACTGTGATTCATAACCAAGTTTAGGGTTCAGAACATAGAACTATTGGCAGCTGTATTTAAAAGGTCTGAAATTTGTAAGACAGATTTCTGCAGATCTGAGGAGTGAGTGACCACATGTGGACACAGCGCTGAAGAGAAAATGAAACCCATGAAAAGAGTGAGAAAAGTGGTGGCAATGAGGGAGTTCCTTGGTCCTTATCACACTGAGTGGAGGTGTGAGAGGAATGGGCTTTGAAAAGGCTGAGATAAACCGAAAACCAGAGGGACAAACATTCAGTTCCTCGGGAAAATAAAATCACTGGGGATATTTACATATATAAACTTTGGTCTTTTGGGGTTAGATTTTCCTACTTCTAACACATGAAAATAACCACTACTCAAACTGAGAAAATCGCTCATATCCTGTGGTGGAAGAATCAGCTCCAGGCATCAGCATTAGCAGAATTTACTTTTGCTAAATAAATATAATCCACCTTAGCTGCCAAATAAAAATCATTATCACAGGAGTTTCTATTATGCTTGCTTAGTCTCTAGTGCATGGAGTAGATATTACTAATTTATTTCATGCTGCCCAGCGTGTGGCTGACAATGGCTTTAGGCAGGATCACAATGTGTGGCAAAGGCACGTCTCTAGTCTATGTACTGAGCCACTCTTGAAAGCACACCTTAGAACCACAGCTGCCATTCAGCATCCTCCCTACAAGACATCCTTGGCCTTCTGAATTCGCTTACAGCACTTGTTTCACCCTTTGGATCTTCTTCAGGCAATTTGATTAATAAAACAGACAAACAAAACATATTGTAGATGCTTTTATAATTTCTTTCCTTTTTTTTTAATTCTTTTTTTCCATTTAGTCAAATTTCTTTTCCGCTGTATACTCCTACCC